TCATAAAAAGGGTAGCCTCAGCATTTCAACGGCAACTGTTACCTCTAACCTTTCGTTGAAGACTAGAATTTTCATCTGTTATTGTCTGTAAACGATTTAATATCCACAGACACAGCAATATTTCGATCTTCATCTCAAGACAAGTCGAAGCAATATGTTTGGGATATAGTTTTCCCTTGATTAGTTAATAGTTTTCAAACATTTACTAGATATACCTTTAACTGATAAATCCAGTATACAGGCTGCTTCATTCTGATACAGTTGTCCATCAAGTATACTCGAAGGTATTGTATAGCAGTTAGTTTCACACATTTCCTAGGCCCTTATAATTACTTTTATACATTGTATATGCCCAAAATATAAGATTAAGACTCGTTTGTAGATTGAGAAATCAATAAAATATTGAAAGATGAATACTGATGAGCGATCACAAAATACTCATGTAAAAACATGCATTTTTTGACACTATCACATCGCTGACTATACTGCTCTCGAATTACACAAAAAACCCTCGAATGCCTATAAAAACCTCTTACGTTAGATTGGTAATTACTTATAACAATGTGAACATAAATTTTCAATTGTGTGCAAATGTGGGATATTCCTTCTTGTTCTGTGAGAACATTACACTTGTTTCTGTTCAGCTAATGAAGCATACCAAAAGCATGAAAACACCAAGATTTGATAAAAAAGTAAATGAACAGTTATTCAAGTCACATAATCAATAAATTGTGACGGAGGTATACAAAATGATAATCCCTTTTGCACATTGTCCCTTTTCTGTTTCGAATTCGAAACGCAGTGCTCTCTTTTGTACCCGCTTAGTTCTTCCCGAGATCAGTACTTTTTTACACATGACCACAAGAGTGCCAACTGGAAGCTTCTCTGTATTACTAGTTCTTATACGTAATAAGAATACTTGCGGTCATCACATATATGCATGTACGATTCTTTTAACCCTTTGTATTATAAACAAGCCATCATTCACAAGTTCATTATTTTTTGTGAGCTCTAACACTCCAAATTCTAAGGAGACTACCCTGTCTGACTGTGAATAATCCAACTAACTGCAATCTTTCTTTCATAGCTAACTGCATTTTCATCAACCGTCAATTCCGCTGCATGGGGTGTTTTATGTTTAAAAGTAGTTCATTTTGGTACCCCGTTATTATCTTAAGAACAGTGGCAATCTGAAAACAGAAACTATTGTTAACGATATGCTAGCTTCGTATCGAGTGAGAGCAGCTTCTTCCTGAGAGTGATACTGAGATAGTACATATTGTGAAGTAGTGTACGATGTGTGAACTGAAGTACAGAGTCTTTATCGCTTAGCCATGAGAAACGTCTGAAATATCTATTTACATTTTTGGTTGGGAAAACGATGATCTTACATGTGATATGTTGAATGTTTACATATCATGAGCAATGACCGAAATTTCTGGTCAGTCGGTAATCATGAATTGTGATTACTAAGTCACACAAACCATAATACACATAACGGAGCTCTTCGTATTTATAGCAGATATAGTTTCGGAAGCATAATGTTGTATCCAACCACGAAAGGCAATATTTGTAGCTCAGTAGTAATTCTAATCATAGGACACAGATATATGGTAACTGTAACCTTAGATAAAGTGTATATCTTACTTATACTCTATTTAGAGGATGGAAATAAGACAATGATAAAACCATCTGAAGTCTTAGGTCTAACAACTAAACACAAAATCTTATTGTGACACCGTTGTTGATTGAGTACCCCCAAAGGATTCTTGGATTTCATTATGTTTTTAAAATCGAACAACTGCCGTGTCGAGTTTTTTGGCAGCAAAGTAATTTGTTTGCACACATTTTCTGTTGGTTTTTTAAGAGTACGTAAATTAGTTGACAAGGTAAGGCGGTAGATTAGATTTGTAAGTTCGCGTGATACTAATGTTGTTGACTAGTATTATGTTCATTTAAAAGGCTTTTGTATGAAAGATATTTTCTTGAAACAACTGTCACTCGAGCTACTTTCGAAACTCTGGTGAGAAAAAAGCTGACGAATTGGCTATGACCAGACTATATATTGTATAAAATTTACGATGCAAATCGGATGTATGGTGGTTATCAATAGCGTTTGACTAATTAAGTATAATGTCGGTCGTCGTTACCCAAAAATTAACTTCTTATCACATACCGTCCTACATGCCCTGATGCACCGAATTCTCATGTCAACAAAAAATGGAGAATTCGAGAGAAATTAATCGGAACACATACCAAGAAGACGTATTCCTTCTGCTGTCTGTAAACAGTGTAATATTTCCAATCTTTGTCGACTTTTGATGCAAATGTAGCTAAAACCACGACTTTTGGCCTAAATACGCGATAGCTTATTCACAGCTATATGCTATAAGCAATGAAGTCACATATTTGCCGTTATTTCCATCACAAGACAAATGTTTAGGCTCAGCACATTCCAGTAAAATACCATGCACGTTTAAAAAAAGAAACCAAATTTTACAGGTACTTCTATAACAGACATTTTCGTCACATCTTCAACGTCAAGTTTCAACCGTAATTTACGGAGATATGAAAAATAATGTCAGGTATTAGGAATACATCCCAATTTTCAACTGCATATAAAATCAGATATGCTCACACTTTATATGCTCAATTTATCTCGCAATGGTACATATTGGTAAGGAAAGAAAGTAATCGAGAGCTTTATTCGACAAAAGTGTTCGGAGTAGTAGCGTCTCCGAAAAACGATTTCCTTTCAGAAAGTGAGAGCTGTTAAACAGATAACCTAAAGCTGTCCTGTGAACTCTGAAATGTAAGGGAAAACCCGTCTCGACATATCTCCCATATCCTTTAAAGCCACTGCAAACAGGGTTTAGGACTAACAGTTATGTTCGCTAACACTCGACTCGACCTGTAAAACAACAATGGAAGGTTATCACTTTAGTTATTGATTACATTATTAGACTTCCTATTATGATGCTTGTGTACTTTGTGTATCTCTCATATGGAAATAGCATGGCGTTGCAGCACCATTTAATTTAATCGATTCTTTCTCATTAAGTGAAGACAGTAAAAACCTTGATATTGGTGTGCGTAAAGACCACGAGTGAAAGAGAACACTTTTACTTCGTAAGCTGCTGTAAAACCGATACTTCCGAAGTATTCCTTTTGATGAAGTACCTAGCAGTATGAAGCTGCTGGTCACTTCAGGTTTCTTGACGTAAGACAAAATATAGCGCACGGAAGTTTTAAGAGCGTCACTCATTAATCGCGTGACCATAGCCATCTGAAATGTGAAGTTATGACCCAACAATTAAACTTACGAATTCATCCTTCATGTCTTTTTGCTGCAGAAATGTATTCAAAGTTCGTAATTCCACTTCACATGATAAATGGAAGTGCTAACTTTACAGTTCAGTACCAAACTTATTTGGATGATTGCGCAAAGCAACATTAGTTGGAGGATATTGGCACTCAAGTCAGATATTTCTGAAGTCATGTTTTGAAGAGCAGTATGCACTATCTAAAGACTTTGATTTCAAACGTGACTTATTCAACTGCTAAAGCGCTGTTAATGGACTTCATGCCAAGGTTTCTAATTGTGTAAAACTGAAATATTAAAGTTTTAAATTAGGTCATGAATAATTTGCGATGTGTGATGCAGTAGTGTCCATTAACCGAAACTTTGGATATGAAAAGCTGCTGCTACCAACCTGCATGTTAGCAACGCCCATGTCAATGAATTCATGAAATCACCCTGATTTCTGTTTCAAGGGCTCTGCTAGATTTCAAAAACATTGTACAGCATGTGCGCGGCAGATGACAGTGCCTAGCATGATAGCTATATATATATATATATATTAAACCTTAGATTATCCATCTCTGGGTCGCTCATTTCTTTTACCTCAGAAGCGGTGTCAGCAGAAATTTAATCAAATCCAACCGTCTGAGAATCGTCTCTGTAGAACCTTATCACAAACACATTACTAAACCTAGGGGAAATTACGCGTCCTAATATAGTCCATAATTGTTGATTGGAGCTATTTGCGCTGATGTTGAAGATGTGACAAAAATCTGTCTGTTATAAAAGTACCTATAAAATTTGGTTTCTTTCTTTAAACGTGCATCGTTTTTTACTGGAATGTGCTAAACCTAAACATTTGTCTTGTGATGGAAATAACGGCAAATATGTGACTTCATTGCTTATAGCATATAACTGTGTATAAGGTATCACGTATTTAGGCCAGAAGTCGTGGTTTTAGCTACATTTGCATCAAAAGTCGACAAAAATTGGAAATATTACACTGTTTACAGATAGCAGAAGGAATACGTCTTCTTGGTGAGCGGTCCCTATTTATTTCATCCTTAATTTTTGGTGGAATATCTTCTTTGTTTCCTCTGAGCTCGCTTTCTTTCAGTGGTTTGGTTTATACAATTTATTGGCTTAAAATATTGTAAATATATCTCATAGTAGATGCTAATGATAATCGCGGTACAGTTTCTCTACTGAGAGAGTTTGTATTATTTACTTCAACATCATAACCTAAATAGTTTTGTTCATATACTATTTGAATATATCACTCTTCATTATTATCACTTGAGATGTTGTCCACGTTCCTTATTGTGGCGAATTTCTTTTCCAACATTATTATTGGTACAAAATTTCACTTAAGTATTCCTTGACTATATTCATCACCAAAGTTTTGTGCCTACACTTGTGATTTGAATAAATAAACCATGCGTTTAAATAAATTTTCCATATTGACTTTACGCCTTTATACAGTAATAATATCTAGTTGCTCAGACTGTAGTTTAAGATATGATTAATCGAGTCACAGATTTTTCAAATTCCTACTTGACTATTTTGCATACATCCATTATTTTACTGTAGTATCCCTGGAGAAAAATTTAGTCAAATTTTGTAAAACTTATAAACTCCAAAACTTCCGTTTTTTATAAAGACGTTATCTGTACTTTATATGTATGTTTCATTTTCAGATATTCAAGTCATGAAATGCAGACCTGGCAGCCATGAGCTTTCTCGTCACACTGTTCAATCCTTGGATTCTAAAGAGATTGAGATTGGTGTTCCAGAAAACAATATCAAAAAAATGAGCTATACTGAGTTTTTACTCAGTTTGAAAAATGGTTCATGTATTAATAACGAATGTGATTCAGACACGAATATCCAAAATAAATCCGAACATTCACTAAGTAAATCCACCGATGTTCATTCGCTGTCAAATGAACATACTTGTGACGCTAGCGTCCCTACTGGTGAAAATTTTTCAAATGCAGTTCCTTTGTGCAATCCAGAAGTTGACTTCTCGTGTATTCATAGTTCTGAAGACGACCTAATTGGTGTGACTGATATAATAACAAAAACGGACTTCCTAGAGCCCAATATGCAGCATTCTTACTTTTCTGCGTGTAATGAATCTACAAGTCAAACAGAACAAGTAACATGACATTGAAAAAATGAGTATTAGTATTTTAGAAAACGGTTGATATTTATCTGTCAAAAGTTGTTGATTCCGATGTATGTCTTAGGAAGATTGTGAATGATCATCCCAACTTTCCGGCTTTGAAATGTTTTCAAGAATTTCAATCCATCCCCACTGGCTACACTAAATCAAGACAAATTCCATCAAGTAAGCTTCATTTATAATCATATATTAGCGATATCAGCTTCCAAATCACTAGTCATCATCACGGACACTAAAACTTAGTAATATCAGTCGATATGTAATGTATTCATATATAAGGAATTATAATATTTTATACATTACTACCAACTTTTAACTAGTGATCGTGTCTTTGCCTAATCGTAGTATCAAGAACAGTATTCGTTATTAAATTACTACAAATTGGCATTTTTGAAAATTATAATGTAATTACTTCCGTGACCAATGATGTTAAGATAAAAAACCAGTGAATATACTTGAAAAATATCAGTATAAACTTGAGGATCTACCATTGAAATTGTTGATTAAAGTCCAATCAGCTTTTCTGCTCATAAATTGAAAAATTGAAATTTACTACTTTGAATACTTGTTCAAATTTTGAAGAAAATAAGACGTTTCCAAACATAATTTTAAACAGCTGCTAATATAGATATGTGTTCTTTATGTTTAGCTTTAAAAGAGTCATTATTGTGGGTCGATAAGTATATGCCACCAAGTTGCTCTTCCTTTTTAAATACTTGTCCTGGCATAATGAAAATTCTTTCGTGGTTGGAAAAATGGAAGTATAAAAATTCTAAAATAGAAAATTCAGCGAAATCTTCATCAAATAAAAGTCAAACTGCAAAGTCTACAAAAAGTAAGTCTCAAATTTGTTACAGTAGTTGTTGCCGGCATGATTGCAATCTGACAATCGTTCATTATTTTTAAAGGTCTAAATTTTGTCTCCTGAGTCATAACATTTTTACGATTTCAGTAAAATCAGTCCACTCACATCTAAAGTTCAACAGATTTGGTGGATCAATCTCAGTTTATGCGAATTATGTTAAAAGGGAAACGTAGTGTAATATTAATCAAAATCATGAATCGATCAATGTTAGACCCCATTTAGAACTTGTAAGAACTGAATAGCTGCTTTGCCGTAGTGTGGAACTCATCTGCAGTGCCCATCCACGACCCTGCAAGCAGGAATCGATACCAGGACCTCCGGTCTCGCGCCTGAACACTTAACCTCTAGACAATTGAGCCGGCATCCGATGGTGTTATTGTTTAACTTAAATCAGTCTATGATATTGCACGACTTCATCCAATATGACAGAAATGCAACCTAGTTTCATCTATGCAGGATTTCAATTCATAGAACTATTATTGTTAGGTTCGTTTCCAGGTATGCTTGAAACTATTACGGGTTCACTTTATTCGATAAACGCGAAAGAGACAATGGACCAGCGTCCAAGTAGGCTACCCTGATCTGTTGACTGATGAAAAGTCTTGATGTAGCGTAGGAAGTGTATTTTAAAAACATCCAGCAAGCACAATCCGATCAAGCACATACTGGGAACTATTTTGTAATATGTTACTACTAATTACAATTTAGTGCTCTGATCTACATGAATTTATTATAAGAACAGCAAATCATTTCTGTTATCTATCACCTAACAGTGGTACTAGTTATTAGCACTGGTAATTTTTTTAGAGTTTTGAAAATTATTTCTTATTAAATTAATTAACATTAACAACCTCCTTTATTTTTATTTTTCAAAGAAAGACTTCGATCAAGCCCTCGTTACTCTAGTGATGATGACTTTGTTGTGAAACCACCAGCACATAAACGCTACAAATGTAACGTTCCTAATTCTGGTCCATTTGAAAAAACCAATGAGAAATCAACTTTAAATTTACCCATCGGATATATCCAAAATCAAGTAGATTTTTCTAACTCCAGCAGCTCAGATGAGGATACTTCGGCTGAAAGTGATGAAGAGCATAATGGTAATACTAATAAAAGACGTCTTCAGGCGAATTGGCAGTCCAAGGCTTTCTTGTTAATAGGACCTCATGGAACAGGCAAATCTGCACTAGTCTATGCACTAGCTAAAGATTTAGGTTTCAAAGTAGTTTCAATAATTTATTTAACTCATAAATATTGTAATTTTTTCAGATATTTGAATTAAACCCCTCAAGTAGACGATCCGGTAAAGATATCACGTCCCAGTTCCATACTGCACTCGAATCACATCATGTTGCTAAAGATAATCTGTCCACTAGTTTTAGTACATTCCAAATGATAAGTAAGTTGCTTAGTTATTTTTTATTCAAATCACAATACTTAAGCATCATCATGTCTTACTAAGAATAATTCAAAACCGGTTCGCAAATCTGCAGCTAATTTCTTTAAACCAGTGTCTAGAAAAAATGTTTCATCTGAAAAGAACACTTCTTCCAGTAAAGGTACCTTGGTCATTGATTTACCAATCATGTTGTAGATGCAGAAAGTCTCAATTTAAATTGCAATTCAATAGTACTATTCGATGAGGTGAGTACAATTGTATTTTGATTTTCTAACCTATTTTTAATAACCTGGAAAAGGCATCTATACAAATCAAACTTTTCACTATTACTAATCTGTGGTTTGTTCTCAAGTCGTATCTGCGATACCTAATCTCTTCTATTACCACTAATGCTACCCCTAATACCTTGTGATTCGCCCTGATAATTTCATCTTTCTGTGTTAATGGAGTGTAGTGACTCGAATTACTCTTGTACCCATGCGCTGGATTCTGTGTTGTGTATAACTAACTGACAAGAGGAAGTTGCTGATTTTTCTCACTTTTTCACCCACACTAAATATCATTCCTTTTTGAAAGTTATGGAAGTTCAATTTCAACAAAATCTTTAACAACTGACATGCAGATAATCATCACCAGTATTTATCGATAGGAGTTTGCAATATGGAAATTGAGACTTTGATTGTATATATGAATCATAATACTCAGGAATATGTACCTGTGTTTAATTTAAATCTTTTCATTGTGAGCTCCCCATGCTCAACGATATAATAAGTCATACTGTCTGAAAAGAAGTATCGCATAATTCGTTTGCATATACTCTAGACTGTTGACATCACCTGGAGATCATCAGTATCTGAAACCTGTTATGATTGACTACAATTTAATCGATACCTTGAGTAGCGAAATTCATTTGATTATATTTCTCTACTCTGTGTATACTAGTTCGGCCATCACTAGAGTCCTAAACATTCACTACCTAAACACTCCGACCACAATGATTCAACTTGAATTTGAGGTAAGGCCAATCTTAACTCCTACTGGTCCAGAACTTATACCAAGCTAGCCCAGTCTTCTGTTCCTTAATCGAACATAGCAAACACTAGTGCAATACACCCAAAACATGAAATCATGCTTCACATATAATCATGCCATAAATGGTAAAGGACGAAACAAACAGCATACAGTATACAGAAACAAACAGTATGACATTAGTTACACTTCCGTAAAAAGAAACAACATCCTTAAGGCATTCTGTCATCGTTGTCATTGCCTTTTTTTTTGTACAAGTGGAGACTATCACTTCTAAGTGTAGACTTTTCAGATATTAACAATGATAAAATTGTTTTTGCTTAACAATTTATTACCAACCAAATTCATTATCAATAATAAAAATACCATAAATCATTTGACATTGGAGAATGAAATCAGTCATTGTTTTAAATATCTATCTGTAAGTTAAGATATATTACTTTTATCAAAATGAATATGATCTGAGTTGAAAAAAATTTTAAGTTGCAGTAAGCATCACTTTTAAAAAGATTTGTTCATCAATTCCATTTAAAATTCATTAACACTTTGGATGTGAAAATTCCGAAGTAATGATCATGAAACCTCAAGAAAAAAATTATGCCAATGATTTGGTTCTTATGTTGTTTCAGTTCAGCTGGATTCCATTAATTGAGTTTTTTGCTATTTCAGGTGGATGTACTTTTTGAAAGTGATCGAGGCTTTTGGTCTGGCCTAAGTAGTTTACTTCAACTTGCTCGTCGTCCAGTTATACTTACCGCTTCAGATTCTTCTATAGTTCACAATTTACCAGTTCCAGCTTATGTTTGTCATATGACATCAGCCTCGTTGGTATGAGAAAGTTTTACTGAATATGATTTTATCAGTTATATTTTTTATTGATGGCATTTCGTTCACCGATTAATTTCATAACTACATCTTAAAAGAGCATTAGAACATGTATACTAGTGTTATAAATTAAAAATAATGGGTTTTACGTTGATTAAATATTAAATACGTCATTGGTAAGATAAGAGCTAAGAAGAAATTGTATGCCTTAAGGTGATAAATTCTAATCAACAGATTAAAACTTTATTTCAAAAGATTTAATTCAACTAAGAATTATTAGGGATTCTCAGTTTTCGATTGTTGATATTCAGGACTGCGATTGGTATCGGTCTCCGTTAGCATATGTGCACCCTGAGTCGACTGCCTCAATAATGTTATTTCACACGTTTCAGTACTATCCGCATACCTAGTACACGAAAATTAGGAACTGTTTTGTTATCGTTATTATGATAATGACAATAATTATTATTATGTTCTAGAAGGGAGTACAGATCTCAAGAAATGGATATAGGGTAGTGTTTACAATATGCGATAATAAGATTAGATTAGATTAGATCAGAAATGGGACGACCCTATTCGCGAACAAAATAAACGTATCTCTTGTACAAAATACGTCAGGTTACTTCTAGTTGATCCTAATGGCTTCTACCATATGGAGGAGATTTAGCCTTGCACCTTCCGGCAAATTATATTAAGATTGAGAATATATTTTCAATCTTGTTGTTACGTTAATTATCAACTAGATACGAAAAACTATCACTGTTTATAAACGTAGTAACACCTTTAGCTAATCATATTTTTTTGAGTATTCTCTGAGGGTTTCTATTCTGTTCTCCTTCAATAGAAATATCTGTTCTTCATTTTCACTTTTTATCAAAGGAATTAGTTGTCCCCTATGTTCGTCTCCTCTGTTTAACCGAAGGATATGATTTGGATGTGCAAACTGCAAATTTATTAGTAAAAAGCATTCAATCCCCTAACTTAATTGTTAATAAACCCTCTTCTGAACATTGTGACCTTCGGAGACTGATTAATGAACTACAGTGGTTTTGTATCAGCGCTCCTGATGAGGAAGCAAACAGAAGAGATAATCATAAGGAAAATCAAAACGTAAGTGGTTTTAATTTTTCTTCAGTATGTGTTTGTTATAAAAATATTGCATTTATTCAAACGTCAGTAATGTATTATTATAGTTTTAGTGGCCTGCGATATGACTTCACTTTGTACGAACAACCAAATACGCTATGAAATAAATCTTCCCTTCGATTTCTGTATACCATACCCAGTCTATGCGATGGTGGTAATAAGAAGCCAAATACGGTTTCGTGGATGAATTTAAATCATACGTTCATTTAAAGCATACAAGCAAAGCGAAGCGGAATAGACGCGAGTGAGCCAACTTCATGCTATAAGAAATGACTAAGCATTTATAGTCAGACAAAAATAAACCAAGCATGTGATAAACAAAGTAATCAGGCACACACACACTTAACTAAAAGAAACTAAGGATATTAAGGAATAATAGACAAGGTCAAGAGACATATGAACAACTCGAGGAGATTAGATTGATTAGATTTTCCAAAGGCTAAGACAAGCCGTGTCCAAACTCCACTCTACCTTCTTCGTTTTAGACAACTGAGTAACCCTCATAACTAGTGTTGCCAACAACCAAGTACTCAGGTCTGTACTTAATAAATTAGCAAATAAGTCAGTCAATCTTTAGTGTTAAGTGAATTCTGTCGTTGCAATAGGTGTGTTGTAATTAGTCTTTTCTTAAGAAATAAAATACCAAAGTCTGTAAATATCACTGTCATATGCTTTTCAGAATTTCCGTCATTTGTGTTTAATTTAGAAAAATAATAAATAAATTAGTTTTTTTATTTATAAGTGAATGATTTATTTTTGTCTTCAAAGCTAACAATATAGTATGTGTTAGCAATTCTAGATAGCTATAGTGAATAGCTAAAGCTTCACTCGTGTGCGTATGTGTATGAATGAGTTGGTAAATGAAATTTGATTGGTTCATCTGCATTTTCATTCATTTTATTTTCTGCAAGTTGTATTTGTTGTATTCAAAGTACACAGGAACGCATACTCTTTTAGTATATATCCTATAACTTTTTCTAGGTTGGTTTTTTGTATTATTTTGATTTCTTCATAGACCTATCATCTATTGAGTTGATGTTAGATAACTAGTTGAAAATGTCTGATAAATTCATCATTCCATACTTTTTCTTTCCACTTGATGAAACTACTTTCTCATTTTGTCAGTAGTATATCACTTATTTTGACAATTCTGTTTTGACCACCCTATAAATACTATGCAAAACATATGGCAATATTCATCATCATTTATGGTGAAAAAAATGTTACAATATTCACTTAAAAAAGAATATTCATGCTTTAATTCATTCCTTCTAGTTTACTTATGCCTTTCATCAAATTGCAACATATCAATTTTACTCAAACACTGTATCATCATCAAAATTTCCATTAACAGACAAATGTTTAGTTACTTTTTAATTTATCACGTGCTGTCAAAGTTTTTACCGGTTATATCGGGCATGATTTATGATAAATTGATGATTTTGATGATAGTAAAAACCGCTATTTAAAATACTAGCTATTTCTACTTCTTCATCATGCATGTTGTTATCAATTCCTCCTCGTTGTATCTATATATTATGAAAATTAAGGCTTATATTGCTTACAATTGAATGTGACAACTGTTTCATCTTGGTTCTCAAGCCTCGAAATACCAATTTATACACAGATTGTTGAAAGTATTTTGAAATAAACAATAAACTGACCACCTAAAACTAATAAATAGAGTCTATGTCAGGAATTCACAGTATTTGAAAAAATTTAATCCCTATTATTCTTATCAGTTTCTTTAATGCCTTTTTAACCCCTAAAAACCTATTTTTTAACTACATATAATCATTATTTATTGTTTATTGATAATTATTTTCACATATATTTCCCAATCTGTTTTTTCAACTCATTTTGTTCTTGTGCTTCGGTTTGCGATTAGGTTTCCCTATTTTCACTTCTCCTTGTATTCAGGTCGACCATCTTGTCTTGTTGGCCTCTAACCAGATTGCTGAATGGCTGTTTTTGAATGGGTTGTTAGACTTAGTCTAATCTGATATCTTTAGTGATTTCTGATTAATCTGAATCCTATACTTTCAGAAATTCTCTGTAGTTCTTAAAATTCCCTTAGTCCATAGGACACAACAGCAAAAGGAAAGAAATGCAACATTATCTAGAAAATAAACTGTGTCAAATGCAATCAACAAAGTAAACAATCTCTTCACCAGCGCTTACGTAAACACAGACTATCAGGAAAACGACAAGATATATTACCGGTGATATCAATAGATATCTACAACTATGAACATGAACTCAACTAAAAAACTTCTAAATTCCGGACAATCAGGGGCGGGGGTTCTAGGGACGCCAGCGGATCTCCTGAAGCCTAACATAAGAATTACTTAGCAATCAATAGTCACATCAATACAGATCTAGTCGACAAACCCATTAAAAACGATCAATTAACAATCTGATCAGAGCTCAAGATAACATGATGACCAGTTGAAGCACATATAAGAACAATAAAACCTAAAAACACTACCTGAATTTGAGCATCAGAGCAAATTAATTATACGCTTTTGGAATAACTAAAAATCTCACTTCTATATGAAATAAACATTGATAATATTAGCTGAAATAACTATGAAAACTCCATAACTAAACTATTCAGCTTAGAGAGGAGAATTCAATAACACTAAAATCTTTTTTTTTTTAAATTTACTTTAATCATGATCATAGTTTCAATATTCTATGACATAATAATATTTGAATTCTGTTCATCTTTTTTTAGCCATCCATCATTCTAAGTGAATTAATGGATGATCCTCTAATTTTAATTCAAAAACTGTATCCTTCATTGTGCAATTTATCTGGACCTGTTCATCATAAATCATTAGATAATCCTAAATCTACTACTGATGAAAATGATTTATGCAATTTATTCACTGAAGACACTGAAAATGTTATTGATCTGATCAATCATGTAGGTGATAAATCAATTGTACGTATGGTAGACTACTTTCTATTTTTTTTGTTTTAAATTTTCATCGACTAGTTTATATATGATTGATCGTTATTTGTCAAATACAAATCATTCAAAAAGCTTTTTGTTGACAAATCGATCATACAACAAAGATTTTGGAGATTCGTTTTCAGTAAATCGATATCTAATGTCACAGATGATTTATTTTATATTGTTCAATAATTACACTAATTTTCAGTGAAATTAATGTCATAAAAAGTATTAATAAAGGCTTGTAATTCCCTGTCGTTTATTATTCTGTAGGGCGATTGGCGCTGTTGTCATATATGTGTATCCTAAACAGATTGTCTCGATATATTG